GGAGCTGGAGTTGGTGAGCTTCCCTACATTAGTGCTGGGAATCAAATTCTGGTCCTTTGGAAGATCAGTAAGTGTTCTTAACTGCTGAGCCATCTCTCAGCCCCAAAGGATGCTTTTTTTTTGTTTGTTTGTTTGTTTTTTTTTTAGCTCTTCAGATAGTTAAATATCAAATGCTGATTGATCCAGAATTAGCCAGACTGACCTTTTAGTACCTGTGTTAGTTAGTTAGTTTTCTATTGCTATTACAAATAGGCTAGATAAATAAACTTAGGAAAAAGAAAGGTTTATTTTGGCTCATAGTTTCAGAGGCGTTAGTCCATGATTGCTTGGCCCTGTTGCTTTTGGGCCTGGATTGAAGCAATATATTATAATGGGAAAGCATGAACTTGCTTACTTCATGGCTGGGAAGTGAAAGAAAGGAAGGATCTCAGGCTTCTAGCATGCCCCAACGATTTACCTTCCTTCCAGTAGGCTCTCCCTCTGTAAAGGCTCCACCACTGCCCAAAAGGCCATGAGCTGGGGACTAAGTCTCTAACCCAAGGGTTTTTGGGAGCACTTACCCCAACCACAGCAGTACTAATACTTATCATGTAAATAGGAAGAAATTGAAACATGGAGTAATTTCCATAAGATGGAAGGGCCTACAGTATATTTTAAAAGATTGTTAGGTCTTGGTAGAGGAAGTGGGATGATAGGCAAGGATTTAAAGTACTCATTCATTGGTGAGAGGAATTAGAATGAGCAGAGTAATTGATCACAGTATCATGAAGTTTCTGGATATAAGGATAGATTTTTAAAAATTTGAAATAATACCATTTTTAAATAAACCAAAAGTTCTGTATTATTCTACTTAGCACTTATTAAGTCTTTTGAGAAAGGTGCATTGTTCTCACTTTAATGGTTTTAGAGCAGACAGATTTATTCAGATAAATACTCCTTACTGGTAGGTGATTGGGTTTTGTTTTGTTTTGTTTTAATAGCATAGTTGTCTATAGTGACAGCTTTGTAACTTTTCAACCCAGGTTATTTAACCACTGCACTCTTAATGTTTCATATTAGAGTTTCCATCAGAGGAAATCAATAAACAAAATGACTTATTCTGCCAGTCAAATTTTCAGCATATTTATAACACCATGAAGATTTCCATTTAATTCTTGGAGGTTCAGTACACACACTGGAATGTACACATACACACACACACACACACACACAAAGATGAAATTATTGACATCTTTGTCCTGTAAAATTTCTCATCCCTTATTTTTTTTTGTTTTGAGACAGGGTCTTCTTGTAGCCCCAGCTGGCCTAGAACTCACTATGTAGACTAGGCTGGCTTTGAACTAGAGAGATCCACTGCATCTGCCTCCTGAGTGCTGGAATTAAAGGCATGTGCCACCATACCCAGCAAGATTTCTCATTCTTGAAAGTGAGAAAATCTTAGAGCAGGGATTAGCAAAATTTTTATTTAAAGGGTAAGATAATATTTTGAGGCTTTGTATATGAAAGGGGTAAACTTAAGACCAGCACAAGAGAACAAATTCTTTTATTGGCAAAAGTAAAAGTGTAGTAATAACTGAGTACAGTATTTTCTAATATCTACTAAGAGGAATGGCTTTTCAAGGGAAAGTTGCTTAATTAAGGTCCATAATTGATTGAGATTTTCATCTTATAAAATACTCATCTAAAATGTGAGTTTATTCTAAAATATAATTTCAATGGCATATTGACTGAAAGGCATGTTTTAGAATTCTGTCATTTTTGTTAGTAGCATTATTTTTGTTAATGCATGCCTTGCATTATAGATTAATCACTTTAAATTGACAGTTAAGTGGTAGATACCTCCTCAGACAGTTTAGTGAATTTTAAAATGTAGATTTGCTTTTATACTTGCATTGAGTTCTGAAAAATGCTTTTGAGAATGTGAGCTAAAAAATCTGCAGATTGCAGTGTTGGAGAGATGTCTCAGTTCTCAGTGGTTAAGAACACGTTCTGCTCTAAATTCAGTTCCCATCTCCCTTGTGGGGCAGCTCACAACTGCCTGTAACCACAGTTCCAAGGAATCTGATAGATGCCCTCTTCTGGCCTCCATGGGCACTGCATGCACATGCATACATTCAAACAGACATACATATGAAAAAATAAAAATCTTGTAAAAGAATCTGTTGTGTGAATGAGAAACTGATTGCCTACAATTTTTGACAACTCAAGAATCTAAGCTTGACATTGCTTGTAATTTAAGCAATTTAAAGTGTTAAAATGACTTTATGATGGTGTGAGGTGGCATGAGAAGCTTTATACAGTCTGGCAAAAGCTAATTTCTAAGGTTATTCAATGTTTGATAACATTGATTGGGTATTTTTATTTAGAAGATTAGTCTCAGTCATGAATTAATAAAATATTACAGTGAAACTCTACATCTGCAAAGACATGTTTTGGCATGCCAGGATATTGAACCATTCTAACAAACACTTATCATAACATACAGAAGTTAACTGGGTAAGTTTATAAGAGTAAATGATGGTCATCATTGATATTCCTAATGGTTCAGTAACAGATTATTTTCCAGAATACTTGCCTACAGTGAATAAACTAGTCATTAAATTCATTTTATAAGAATTGTAAACTGGTCCAGCTAAATCCTTTTGATTCCCCACATAGTGTTTTATCCGTTGTTTGCATATTTTAGCAGATGTAGCTTATTTTAGTAGATTCTATTTCAGATTGTTCTGTAGTAGTATTTTTCTTGGCTTCCTTTTTTTTGCTGTTTTGTTTGTTTTGTTTTTTAATTTTTATTTATGTGTATGAGTCTTATGCCTGCACGTATGTAAGTGCACCCATGTTGTACAGTGTCCCCAGAGGTCAGAAGAGGGGGTTGAATCCCCTGGAACTGGAGTTATGGACAGTTAGTTGTTAGCGGCCATGTGGGTGCTGGGATTCAAACCCAGGTCTTCTGCAAGAACAACCAGTACTCTTAACCACTGAGCCATCTATCCAGCCCCTGTTTTGTTTGTTTTTTTAAGACAGGATTGCACTATAGACTAGGTTTTCCTCAAACATACAGTCCTCAGCTTTGAAAATAGTGTCGCCTTTGTTTTAGAAGCCACTTTCTTAGTCACTTCAAACTTAGCCTTGATTCCCTAAATAATGAGAGTGGGGCAGTATCCGTAATATCTGTTGACCCACTAAGAACCAAGAAATAAGCTGAGTGTGGAGGTGCAGACCTTTAATCCCAGCACTCTGAAGGCAGAGGCAGTTGGATCTCTGAGATGGAGTCCAGCCTACTCTGCACAGTGAGTTTTAGGCCAGCTGAGGCTACAGGGAGATCCTGTCTCAAAAATAAAGTTTATGTTAACCAATTGTCCAATAGGCTGTAGTTTGCTGAGATGTGTTTAAGATATTTTTGAACTCTAGTGTGTGGCATAAAACTTCACTTGGAACTTCCACCTTGAAAATAGGAAAACCAAAAACTGCTTTATTACAGACATAAGAGTTATAGCAAATTAGGAAAATAAGTGGGAGTAGTCAAATGTTTTAAGCCAGGTAAAAATTTGTTAGATGGAAGAACAGAATAAAAATGAAAAATTAAATAGCTCAATTGACGTACCATATTTTAGAATGAGTTTGAATATATCTAACCAACCATTGGAAATAATGGGTATAAATTAAAAAAATAATTTCCTAAGAAATTTTGCCCATATAAATAGTTGAGTCATCACATTGAATTTCACAAAATTACTTTTAGCTTCTGGCAAAAAAGAAGTGAAAATGTGTATCAAGCACTTTACACATTGACTTGTCAAACTGCCCTATAAAGTAGATACTATTTTCTCCATTTTACAGATGGGGAAACGGAAGTATGAAGAAGCTAAATAACTTGCCAAAGTTTGCATAGTTAGGTTGGATTTGAACCCAGGTAATCTGGCTCCAGATACTGCTATTAGTCACTATGCTTTAAGGTCTCTCAAATGCTGAATATGTCTGCCATTTCACTTTGTGAAATGTGCCAGTACTCAGTGAAAATGCGATAGAGGTTTTATGTTTATTCTTATACGCACGGAAGTTTTCTTTCAAGTGCGAGCATACTGTGTACTATATATGACTCTTAATTATTTTGCAGTACTGGAGGGAAAGTCAGCTCAGACTGCTGGGATTTTTCAACAGTGCATATCTGATTTTTTACTTAAATTGAATTTAAGACCTCATTTTGCCATTTAGGTGTGATTTTACTACAAGTACAACCAGAATTTTTAAAACATTCTTTTAATGATTATATATTTGGCACATACTTTTGGAGATCTTAAAGCTTTTTCTTAGTTTAACTGATAACATACTATGTATGCAGTAGTATTTCCTCTTACCTAGAGGCACACATCTATTACAAGATCCCTAGTAGATGCTTAAAACTCCAGGATCCCTAATATCCTGTTTTTTTGCTTACATGCACATAGGCAGATAAAGCCAGTTTTACCTTAACTAAGCACCTAGCATAGATGTAAATTCTTTCATCACAATTTCATGGATAAGATTTTTTGCAACATTTTTTTTCTTTTGTTATATCAAAATTGTTCGTTTTTTCACTTAATGGAAGTGTACTTTATAACTTCTCTTTGGTGCCTCTGAAATGCCAGTGTCACAATTTTTATACTTTGGAGCCATTATTGAGTAAAATAAGGATTTGTCATTTGAGCTCAGTGACTAATAGGGTGGGTAGCAGCTGTGTGGATATGCTGGGTGAAGGGATGGAGTAAGATGGCGTGGCACTTGGTGGTGCTCTTTAGAAATTGAAGTTTTAAGACTTAACAAATTATTCTGAAATTTTTCATTTAATGTTTTGGGACTGATTGACCATGGGTGACCAAACTGCCTAAAAAGAATCTGTTGATAAGAGGAAATGGCTATACTCAGTTAAATGCCGTGTACACTATACTTTAAACTGTTAATTTATGTCTTCCTTAATACGATATCTCTTTCTCTCTCTCTCTTAATAAATAAACTTTCAGCTAGTATGTTCAATACACCAGGAATGCAAAGCTTATTGCAGCAAATAACTGAAAATCCACAGCTTATGCAAAACATGTTGTCTGCCCCATACATGAGAAGCATGATGCAGTCACTAAGCCAGAACCCTGACCTTGCTGCACAGGTGAGTTTGTAATTATATTTTAAAAGACTGCTCAATGGTTTTGTTTTTGACACATGTGTGCTGTTCTATTTTAACATACTAGAAATGTACACAAAGTACACCTCCAAGTGTTTGGACAGTTTTACTGCATACATACATACTTGAAACAACTTCATTCCTGCTATTTGTTAATGAGAAGTTTAAGTTTATAAAGTATATATTTGTTGATCTGACTTAGGAGACAAGTATAGATGTACTTGGATTGTTTACTCTTGATTCTTTTGTGAAATTTGAATCAGTTGAAAGTAACTTGAAAGCAGTTATAAAACAATATGTTTGGTATTTTGAAAATGTTTATGTAAGATAATTCAGACTGTAGTAGTCATTTTAAACATACTAAACAGCCTGAAGTTGCTTCTCAAATCAGAGGTGGAGAGCCATGTTTGGTGGCACATGCCAGTATTCAGGAGGCAGAGGCAGGCACATCTCTGAGATGAAGGCCTGCCTGGTCTGCACAACAAGTTCCAGGACAGCTGGGGGCTACAGGGAGACATTGTCTTAAAAAGATACCCCAGAGCAGAGGAATAGTGTTCTTTCTTAGATAGATGTGTCCCTTTAACATACTGATCTTTTGAAATAAAATTATTTGGGGTCAGTGTGTGTGTGTGTGTGTGTGTGTGTGTGTATGATTGTGTGTGAGTACAGGTACCCATGTTTCCTGCTGTATGTGTAGAATTCAGAGCACAACCCTTTGAAGTCTGTTCCCTCTTCACCATTTGGGCTCCAGGGATTAAACCCAGGTTGCTAGACCTGTTAAACAAGTGCCTTTACCTGCTAAGCCATCTTGCCAGCCCAGTATACTGATATTTTAATTAAATTTTTTCATTTTCTAATTTGTTTTTGGAGATCAAACTGAGAAAATTAGTGGATCTCAACACTGGCATATCACACGGGGAACTGTTAAAAAAATAACTGATGCTTAGAGAGCTTGATATAACTGCACAGAATTTTACCGCTCCCCCCCCCCTTTTTTTCCCCTGATCCTGTCAAATTACCTGAGTGGTTCAGCACCTACTGTTAGACTTCAAACAACTTCTTTCCTGCTGTTTGTTGATGAGAAGTTGCAAGTTTATAAAGTGTACATCTGTTGACTTAGGAGATGGATACAGAAGTTTTAGATTGTCTTTTCTTGAATAAAACATTTCATATCCTACTGTGGAGGATATGAAAGAAGCCATGATCACTCACAGTTTTTATTTACTGTTTATTAAAAATGATTACTAAAGACCAAAAAAAAAGGTTACTATGAACTGGAGACATGCCTCAGCAGTTAAGGCTGTTCTTGCAGAGGACCTATGTTTGGTTCCCAGCACCCACATGGCAGCTAACAGCTGTCCATAACTCCAGTTCCAGGGGATCTGACACTCTCCTGACCTCTGTGGGCATTACATGACACAGGTGTACTTCAGGCAACACATACGTACATGGAAAATAAATAATTTTTTTAAAGGTTACTGTTGAGTGTTAGGAATTTGGAATACTTTATAGTTAATCCTAATTTTTCAAGCCTTTAATGTTTCATTATGTTGGAAGAGATGGTTTTTATTTTTGAAACTCTAGAATCATGTTGACAATGAATATATAGCCGATGTCTTTGAGGTATCAGAATGGCAGGTAATTAAAGAGTAAAGTTTGGGGGTAATTTTTACTTTAATATTTTTATATCATGGTTTTATCTTTATCAAAGCTGGTTTTATGGAAATTATTATGACCATTAAGCTACTAATATTAAATGCTTGGATTTTAATATAATGAGAACCACTTTTGTCACTTGGGTAAAGCTAAAATATGAAAACTGTATGTAGAGTAATCCTATATATATTTTTAAGTATGTATTTAGTTAACACTAAATGTGTTATTTTGTTTTTCAAATTCCACTGTAACAGGAATATTTCTAGCCATGCTTAATAATAATTTTATATTTATAATGGACTTGAGCAACTTTTATGCCCTGTTTTGTTCTTTGGCTGTAAAGCAAAATATTGACAATGCTAAATACAGATTTTTTTTTTTTTTAGTATTGAATATTTAGGAAATTTGCAGCATACTCTGGCATCAGATGATTATGTTTATAGTTTATTATTTTGAATTTTAAATACTAAGTTTTAAGTGTAAAAACTATATGCAGGTCAGGTAAGTTAGAAATACAATCAAAAGAGATGATTTTTGGAAAATGAGACATGCATTTTATAGATTAGTTGAAATAATTTAAAAATGATAAGTATGGTAACCCATTAATTTGTTCATAATATTTGACTGGAATGAATAAAGAAGCAGGTTTGTTGACCTCAACCTATTTATTTACTGTGAATTTATTGGTCACTTTGAAAAAATTACTTTATGTCCACTTTTTCCTGCTTTGATGATGTTGAAATTAAATGATCCACTTTAAAGGAGGGAGGAATGTTCTTTTCTTTAGGATTTAAATATAGTTGCTCTTAAATATGATTACCTAATTGAGGGCAAAGATGATTTCCTCCCCAGACTTTGGACAGGTAAATAGGTTTCAGTAAATCATTGTTAGTTGACTTTTTAAGTTGGGAAAAGTGATAGGAAATTTGTCTTTTTTTGAAACTAAGACCATTTACTAGCTTCTGGCTTTGCTGATTGTTTATTGTAATATTTTCAGATCCCTAATACCATGTTAATACTGGTCCTGATTTTTAAATTGGTAGCACTTATTTGAAAGTTAGGAGATGGCCATTTTTCTTATCTATGGTGCTAGTGAGGTGAAATCCAGATGCTAATCTTGATGTTCTCAAATGGATTTATGTACGTAGGATTTTAAAGTATTTTAACTTTCCCCAGAGGACTGTTGATACTAGTTTTGGCTGATTCTCATCTAGCAACTCCATCTGGCAAGTTGGTTGCTGTTTGTGCTTATTTTTTCTGGACCTAATATTAGCTGTTTTGTAGTAGGCAAGGAGATGATTGTGGCTCCAGATCTGGATTTTGTCTGTGCTTGCCATTTGTGTGATGAGATTTCTAAGCAAGCCATATTTATAAGTTTTATGTATTGATGCTTATGTTTATTCTGTCATTGTAGTAGAAAGTATGTCTTCCTGAGAGCCTGTTAGTCCTGCTTTTCCCTCCCAAAGGCAAAAATTCAACTTTTTGTTCAAGGAAGAGACGATAAAAATTATTGCCTTTATCTTTTTTTTAGGATATTACATGTCATCAACATGTTCACCATTCTCATTGAGAGAGAAGAGGTCTTTTTTCTTTCCTGTTTTTGGAAATCCTTATTGTGGAAGTACTTTCCCTACCCTTTTTTTTTTTTTAATTTTATGTTCTACCTTCCTCCCATTTTAGTGCCACTTTAGGCACTCAGGGGAAGATAGAATATTAAGCAAGGTACATTACTTGTTTCAGATATTTCCAGTTAAAATTGTTTGAACACTTGCCCCATAGATGATGCTGAATAACCCCCTATTTGCTGGAAATCCTCAGCTTCAGGAACAAATGAGACAACAGCTCCCAACTTTCCTCCAACAAGTGAGTAAGAAAGATGCTAGCTATCTTGTAATGGTCTGCTCAAAAAAGTTTGATGGTGAACATTTTGCTTGCTCGTTTCTGGCTGATAGCAAAACATAGAACTAAGTATGATCATGCTGCCCCCTTGTAGACAGTTGAGTGTGAACTTCCTTGAGCCCATTTCACTGCTGATCTTCTGTTATGTTTTGAGGAAAGAACCATGTTGCTTTGGCTTTTGAGGATTTTAGAGTTTTGAATGTTTTGTTAATATCATAAACCATTTCCTTTCGCTTAATGACCTTGATAAGAAGTGCTTCCTTGTATCATGTTATACTTTATGGTTTTAACTAATCTTGAGTAATAGGACAGAGCTACCTTATCCTGTTTTACAGGTCAGGCTTTGGTGTAATGTTTTTCAGTTTCTTCCAAATTAGTAGAATGCTTGCTTCCTAAGGAGTAGACCTCATTTCCTCAAAATCAGAGTTAGTAAGGTTAAAATTGTCAGTGTGGTTGTGTGAAGAAGGTTTCATTATACATATTTTTTTAAGTACCCAAGATTGCCATGGTATTTTATTACTTAAAAACACACAAGTCAGTGTGTTGGTGTTTTTGAAACTGGTAGTACTAGGGCTTCATATATGATCTAAGTGATTATTAGGCTTGTAAGTCATTTTCCAAGGTTAGTTATTGTTGATCCATCGTAATGGTGTGAACAGGGGTCAGCCAGTGAATATTTGAAAGTAGTGGAGCTAAACTAGGGACCCATGTATTAATTTCAAATTTGGAACTATTGTTTTAGCGGGTACAGTATTGGTAAAATTACCAGCAGATACCATTAGCACCAGATAACACTTGGTCAAGAAGAATATAGTTTTCACTGTATTACCGTGCCTGATAAATTATGCATTTGGAGATTTTCTCTTAGAAATAACATTTTTTTCTTCTTTTGGGGAAGGAGGAAATGTGGCTTCCAGAGTAGCTCTTAATGGTCTTCATTATGAAAATGACTTTTATGACTTGGGAGTGGGTCAATTAATGATTTGTGTACTTAATTTGCTGACAAAGAGGAAGATTTGTGTTTATTTTGGCAAGAAATATTATGGATTACCGGTGTATGGGAGTAAAGTTTTATATTTTCTCCAAAAACATAGCAGAGTTGGGAAAATGTACCTTTATTGATTTTAATTCTTTTGTAACCACTGGGTTTCCTTTTTTCTTAGATGCAGAATCCTGATACACTATCAGCAATGTCAAATCCTAGAGCAATGCAGGCTTTGTTGCAGATTCAGCAGGGTTTGCAAACATTAGCTACAGAAGCTCCCGGCCTCATCCCAGGGTAGGCTTATTTGGAGAAGATTGGAAAGCACATAGTAGTTCCTTTCTCTGAGAATTTTAGATTTAATGTCATTTGCCTTTTATTTTTAATTTGTTTTTAATCAGTTTCAAAGTTAAAACTGCTTATTTTTAAGAAAATAACAGCATTTTTAAAAAATGTTACTGATTTGTTACCTGGTCAGGGTTGGTCTCTAGTCCTGTAAGAACTTTTTTACTTATTTGTGCTTTCCTTAGGTTTACCCCTGGCTTGGGGGCAGCAGGAAACACTGGAGGCTCTTCAGGAACCAATGGGTCTAGCACTGCGCCTAGTGAAAACACAAGTCCCACAAATACTGAACCTGGACACCAACAGTTTATTCAACAAATGCTGCAGGCTCTTGCTGGAGTGAATCCTCAGGTGACAATTCTTTTCTGCTCAAATTTTGCATTCCTTAATTTTAGAAATTTCAAAAAAAGTAAAAAGAAGTAGCAGCCATTTAATTAAATATTCATAATAATGAAAAGTACAGTTTAAAGGATATTGGATCTAAAAACAGGCAATGTAAAAATTGTTAGTTTTTGTGCTATATTAGATGCTAACGGGAAACAAGTTTTGAGGAAGAATGCAGACATAATCTTTAAATTAAATGTATTATTTTGAAGTCCTTTCACCAGAGTCATTTCATATAAATTTTGTTTTATAAAAGTCAATTAGGGAAAAATCTGTCTCACTGTCACCGTCTCCAGGAAAAGTATATCTAGTGTTTATTCTAGCTCCGTTTACTGTACCACTACTTCCTGTGGTTACTTGTATTACATATATGCACCTAAAAATGTGCACCCCTTAATAGTGTTCTTGAATTTGTATTTATTGGTTTTACTAAGAATCTACCATTAGACAAAGATAGCTGCCACTTTATTATATTGTAATTGAAGTAGCTACTCGAGATAGCAGTTAATATTAAACTGTTTGCACGTATGCTTTTTCAACGGTTCTCTGCATTTTTTGGAGCCTCTGATGGAGTTTTTTAAATATTTTTTTATTATTTTTATTTTGATATGTATACATGTATTGCCTGCATGGTATAAGTGCACCTGTTTTGTGCAATGTCTGCAGAGGACAGAAGAGGCCATCGGATCCCCTGGAACTGGAGTTACGGACAGTTGTTAGCTGCCATGTGCGTGCTGGGATTCGAACCCCAGTCTTCTGCAAGAACTAGTGCTCTTAACCGCTGAGCCATCTCTCCCACCCATAATGGAGTTTTTTAAGCTCTCCTCCCTTTTTGGGGGGGTGGGCAATACAGTCCTAGAGATCAAATCCAGTGCTTAGCCCCAGCCTGAAAGTTGTTTTTTTTTTAAAGGCAGAATTACGTGATCTATTTGTCACTATTATTTTAGGTATAAACTAGTTTTAAAATGCTAGTCAACCTTTAAATATAATATGGTGGATATATTTCAAGACACAGACAATGATTTTAAAAAGCTTAGTAGATCAGCATATGTTATTTTAAAAGCAGTTAAATTCTTTTTAGGCAGATCTCCCTGTAGCCCCAGCTGGCCTAGAACTCACTATGTAGACCTTGGCCTTGATCTCACAGAGATTCACCTGCCTCTACCTGCAGAGTGCTGGGACTAAAGGCATGTGCCTCCACATCCAACCAGTTTAAAAAAAAAATTAAAGTTATTCAGGTGTAACATAGACTGGCTTTCCTTAGAATTATCTTTTTTTTTTCTAACAGCTACAGAATCCAGAAGTCAGATTTCAGCAACAACTGGAACAGCTCAGTGCAATGGGATTTTTGAACCGTGAAGCAAACTTGCAAGCACTGATAGCAACAGGAGGTGACATCAATGCAGCAATTGAAAGGTTACTGGGCTCCCAACCATCATAGCAGCATTTCTGTAACTTGAAAAAAATGTAATTTATTTTTGATAACGGCTCTTAAATCTTTAAAATAACCTGCTTTATTTCATTTGAATTCTGTGCTATTATAAACAAAACAAATATGAAGCATTTTAAGGTGAAGTACAGTAAGATGTGTGGGATTTTCTGTATTTTTGTTTTGGAACAGCGGGAATCAAATGTTTTCAATTTAAGGCTACTGCATGCATCAAATACTTCTGCATTTATTGTAATTTTTAAAAAATATATCAGCTTTTCTAATTGGGTGAACCAACTTTTGTCCTGCATCTGTCCAACACCTGCTTTTTAAACATAAGCCTATGGTAGTAATTTATGTAGAATAAAGGCATTAAAAAGCAGATCATTTGCACTGTATAATTTGTGGTACAGTATTGCTTATTGTGACTTTGGCATGTATTTTTGCAAATAATGCTGTAAAATTTATACTACTGACAATTTTTGCTTTATTTGTATACAATACAAAGTATGCACATTTGGGATTATAGTTCTAGAAACTTACTGTGATAGGTCATCTGAGCAAAATCCCTGTAACCAAAAAAGTAAAGTAAGAAATTCCTAATTGTGTAGAATCTTACAGCATCTTTGATAAACATCTCTCAGCAGAAGTGCCATTTAGTCAGTTTTGTTGAAAATAAAGAAAAACTGATTCTGGTATCTGTGTAGGGACATTTAAATGTACAGACAACATAATGTAACAATATCTCAACGTTTCCATAATGGCTGTAAGTAACCTTAATTTTATGCAAACTGAGGGAGCACTGTAATAATACTCCAAAATGCTTTTGCCTAGGATTTTTCACCTTTTCCCATAGATAGTTTAACCAATATTACAGTTTGTAATTGAAATATTGCTTTCACTGAAATGTTGATGTTTGGTTTTTAATTGCTATATAAAAGTAGAACTATCTTTTGGGTTTATCAGCATTCTCATTCATAGTACCTGAATTTAAAATGATTATAGTGAGCTACTTGTTTCTGAAGTGTTTGGATAGTTCTATTAAGAAATAGTTGAATATTGTGCTTTTCAGAACCTCAGAGAAAGGGAATGCGAGTGGAGGAGGGACACAGAATCTATCCTGGTTTGAACCAGCCTCAACTAAATAATACTGGCAACCAAGATTCTGCTGAGATTTCTATGCATAATATCCTTGGGGTGAAAAAGAGCCGTTTTAACAATTTTGAATATGTTTGGCTATTCTGTAGCCTTTTTCTTCCCTCCCCAAAGAAGTTCTATTTGCCTGACTCTCCAGCTATTGGTGATACATTCCTTTAGGACCAACTAAAATATAACTTTAGGGGTCAGTAATATATTTGGCTGACTCTGGTTCAGTATTCTCCTAGGTTATTATAGTCTCTCATGTATAGTTAGAGAATAATTATGTTAAAATAACCTAAAATGGATTCGGACCAATAAAATCAAGGGAACTACAAGTTGAATTCCATTACTTCTGTAAGTTGCTTGCTATTAAAAGGTCTAGAGACCAGGTTGCCCTCCAATCCATATGCCAATTTGACACTTTCCCCAGGAAGAAAATAGGTACAAAGGTCCAGGCAGAGGTATAACTGGGGGAGGTTGGTAGGACAGTGTTCATGTGTCTCTCCTTGTTCTGCCTTAAATGCCTCAGTCTTTCTGATTTAAAGACTTTTGTACTGGTGAATGGCAATACACAAGTGGGGGCAGTGTCATAACTAATTTGATTTATTAATCACCAAATAACAATAAATCTCTAGCTTTTACACTTGGTTTGTCTTGCCTCTTTTGTAGAAAGAAAAGGATGTCTTCATTTTACTTTTTCTCAACATGTCTTCAAGGGGGATATAGTATCTTTTCTTGGCTTAGTTTTTTGTTGGGGGGGATGGATTTGTGAGACAAAGTCTTATTCTGTAGCCCAGGCTATTCTGGAACTCACTATGACTGGTCACAGACCCACAGTGATCCTTGTGCCTTGACTTGCTGAATGTTGAGATTACAAGTGTGAGCTACCATGGACAGTTCACAGTTTAGATTATTTGGAAACTTTTCAGATTTCCCTTTCTTAAATACTGTATTCACTGTGTTATGTATTTAAAAAGATAGTTAACTAGGAAGGATTAAAATCTGGGCACTATTTCCCTTTTGATTCCAACTGATTATTTGGCTTTGAGTAAGGTACATCATTTGTTTGTTTATAGAGGTAAGGCCTGTTGGGCAATCCTGTAAGTACACTTAAGTTGCTGCAATGGCATCATTTATTATTCATTTCTAACATTCATCATAGATCTAAAACATAGTTAAGGGCTTCAAGATTCAGGTGTTCTTAGAAATTGACCTTTGTGATGTGAAAGCTATGCACATTACATAGAAACCATATTTCATGTTTGGAATTTTAATTGTTTCCTAACCTAGCAATATGGCTTAAGAGTACTCTTGGGATTCTGAGAAGGGGGCATTTAGTCAGCTACCAAACAGGTCTGATCTGAGCTGTCTAGGAGGTTAGGTCTATTAAGTACATTTTTTACTTGATGTTCTGTAGTGACCCTCTTGTAAGTAAAGGAGTATCTATACTTGAAAATCTTAAAAGCACTAGTAAGGCATTTAATACAGACTTAGGTGGTTCTCATTTTAAGTTATTTAGTACAGGTTGAATAAAAATGGAGAGGTGAAAATAACATTTCAGGATTTTTGTTCCAAAGTGGAACGTTTATTAACCTCTAAACAAAATGTTAACCAAGTAACAGTCTACCCTTTCTTGTTTTCAGTTATAAATATTATACCCAAACCTTTGATTTGTTTATATATATATACACACACACACATATATATGCATAATAGGCAAGGATGTGAGGGAAAATACGCTTTTTTTTTTTTTTTTTTTTACTTTGGGGTTAAGTAACCTTACTTAATTCATAATCCATCTATTTTGCTATGAATTAAATTTTTTAGAACTGACTAATGCTTAATTTTATAAATGTACCTGATTTTCTTTATCCATTCATCTGTTGGTGGATAACTAGATTGGTTCCATTTCTTTGATATGTGAATAGAGTAGAAAGAAAAATGGGGCACAGATATCTCTATAGTACAGTATGGAGTTCTCTGGGTCAGATTTAAGAGGAGGGGTCAGCAGGCACACTGCTTGATGGGAAGAATGCAAAAGACTTTGATCATCTTAAATCGTACACCATAACCACAGAAGGATCATGGGAGGATATTTTTCTTTTTCACTATTTCTTCTTGCTTATTATATGTTATTATAAGGAGTGGGTTGTGCTTGACTTGTTTTCCTTTGGAAAATGATCTAACCAAAGAAAGCATGCATTCTAGTCTCCTTACTGTCATGTAATAGACATGTTCATGTGATAGACTTTACCACTGTAGAGGAGTCATGGTTTTATTCATTTTAATTATAAACTATATATAACAAAATAGACCATTATGATAATTTTAAAGGGAATGATTTCAGTGCCGTTATGTACAGTCACAGTATTGTATAACCATCACCATCCAGAACTTTTTCATCAGCTGCTAATTGAGCTTTTTTAATTTCATACAACATTTACCACTCAAATCCAGATCCCTTCACCCATCCATGCCTTCAACTATCCCCCCGCCCCCCACCGAAACCTATGCACTCCGCCATACATGCTGTGAGTCCTATTCATTCAGGGGTTTGTACTCAAATGTCCTTCAGTGTAAATGCATCCACTGGCATCTAGTCAGCCTATCCAGTGGTTGCGTGTAAGTCATACTCTCCCTCACCCAGCAGCAACCAGTCTCAAATAGTTCTCAATCTAGCGCTGGCCCACCACCTGTTTCTCACCTCCCCTTTGGGCCCTTGTTTAATTGAGCTGACATGGGTCCCAGGCTCGATGGCACTGCTGCCACAGGCTCACATGAGCAAGCCTCCAGAGGCCTGGAAGCCTCCATCTCCTTATGTTCTTGAATCAGCCTGGCTCTTGCAATCTTTCCTCCTGTTCTGCAGTGGTTTCTGAGCCATGGGTGGATGAGATTCCATAGAGGAGTCCCATCCTACACTCTACAGTCTCTTATTCAAAACTTAGCCAGTTGTGGCCTTCTGTGCATATGTGTACATAGACGCCTCACTGGTGAGAGTTGAGGGGTCCATTAGCCCTCTCCCTATCCCTTTTTCTACAGTGTTCCATGAGCTTTACTTGTAGATTTGACTTCAGATGTATCACCTAGTACTGGGCATCTCCCAGATGTATGTTCTCTGTGCCTGACCAGATGGGCAACTCTGCAGTAACCTCCATGGGTTGTAAAAAGAAGCTTGCTTGATGAATGCTGTACCGCATACTTGTCACTCTAGGGGAAGTCTCTTTGCTCTCGCACTGCATTCCCTCCCAAGCTGCTTCCAGGTATTAGTGTATTAATGTTCAGACACTATGTGCATTTCTCATAAGGTTTCTAGGGCATTATTTTTTCCTCTACGTTTCCTAGCCCCCCAGGATTCACTCATCTCCACTCTTTTTCTCCCATCTGGCTTCCCTCCTCCCTCCCTCCCTAATCACACCCTCCCCCCAATATCTCCCAACTCCCATCACCCTTCTCACCCATGTGTTCTCCCGTTCCCCCCTGCCCTCCTGTTGAGCTGTGTGCCCTCCTGCTCACCAGAGTCCTGTTCACTCATGTCCCTTCCTACGCATGTGTACCTCCTTGCTCACCAATGAGTCCTGCTCATCTGTGTACTGACCCATGTGTTCTGCTCTCCTGTATGCCCTCCTCAGCAGTGTCTCCTCTTGCTCACTGGCGTACACCTCCACTCAACCCTGTGCCCTCATGTTCACCCGAATGCCTTCTCCTTACAGTGTGTCTTCGTGCCCACCGTGTGTCCCACTGCTCTCTGTCTCCTCTTGCTGTGTCTGTTTCTTCCTGCTCCCTAGTCTGCCGCCTTGCTAACCTGTATGCCTTTATGCTCACATGTGTCTCTTCCTGGTCATCTGTTCTGCTCAGTCAGTGTCCTTTCCTACCCCCCCCCATGTTCCTTCCTGCTCATTCCTGTGTCCTCACCCTCGCCTGTGTTTTCATGCTTACCTATGTCCTGCTCAGCTCTGTGCCCTGCTGCTCAACATGTATACCCCTGTACACGTTTCTTGTACCTTCGTTCTGTATATCTGTGTTCCTTCATGCTTATCCATGTGCCCTCTTTATTCATGTGTCTCATTCACCCATGTACCCACCTGTCAGGCCATATGCTGTCTTGATCATCGGTGTGCCACCATGCTCACTCCTGTGCCCTCCACCTAAGTGCCCTGCCCTCCAGGTCACCAGTATGCCTCCTGTTTCCGTGTGTCCCTGCTCACCAGTGTGCCCCATTGCTCACTCCAGTATCCTGTTCACCCTTGTGTCCTCTTCTCACTAGTGTGTGCTCTAAGCCATGTGCCCCCTGCTCATGTGTGCCCTCCTCACCGGTGAGCTCTCCCGCGTACCCTCGGCTCACCGTGTCCCCAGTGTCGGCCTGGGTGCTTGCTTGCTCACCTGTTCCTTTTTCTTTTTCTTTTTTGGTCTTTGAGACAGGGTTTCCCTGAAGTTCCAGCTGGCCTCTGCCCCCGGATTAAAAGCGTGCGCACCACACCAGGCTTTGTCACCTATTTCATTCCTTGTCACGTACGTCTGCCTGTTCACCCTTGTGTCCTCCTGCTCACATGTGTGTGTCCTGACTCCCGGTGTGTCTTCCTGCTCAACCCATTTCAGCCTGCTCACCTGTGTGCCTCTTGATAAGCCATGTTCCCTTTATCTCCATGTGCCCTCATGCTCACGTGTGTTCTTCTGCTCACTCTTGTTAACCTGTGTGCACTTTGCTGATCTTTGTACCCTGCTCACTTGTAGCTTACTCTCTCCTGTGCCCTTGCACACATTGGTTTCCTTTTGCTCACCCAGGTGTCCTTACGTGTCTGCCTTTCTGAACCAGCAGTGTGCCTTCCTCTTCTCAATGTGTCTCCTGCTGTTTGGTGTCTCCTGCCCATTCATGTGTCCTGCTACTCGTGATATTCTGATCACCCATGTGCCTTCCAGCTCACACGTGCCCACCTCACCCTTTTGTCCTCTTGCTTACCTGTGTCTACTCCAGCTCACCAGTGTGTTCTGCTCACTCATGTCTCCGACTGTTATCTGAGTGCTTGTCTGCTTACCTTTGTGTCTTCCTGGTCACCCGTTTCCTTCTGCTCACCACTTGCCATCCTCCTTACCCATGTGCCCTGTGTTCTGCACCATCATGCTTGTGTGTGTACCTTCCTGCTTACCATTGTGTGTACTGCTCACTCCCATGTCCCCCTTGTTCATCTGTATGCATTCATGCTCATCCCTGTGTGCTGCTTACTGCTTCCCCCTCCTGCCTGTCCGTGTTCCCTGTTCACCCAAATGCCCACCTGCTCCCTCATTTGCCTTCATGCTAAAAGTGGTGAGCTCACGTGTGCTCTACTCCTCCGTGGGTCCTGCTCAAATATGAGTCCTCCTGTTACCTGTGTCCTCTCTGCCTAACCCCTGTCCTATGCTTACCAGTGTAACCTCCTGTTCACCTGTGTCCTCTTCTATTCATCTGAGTATCCTGCTAACACATGTCCTCCTGATCCCTGTGTTACCCTGGTTATCCATGTCCCCTCCTGTTCACTCATATGTCTTTTTTTTTCTAAAGTGAGTCCTGTTTACCCGTATCCCCTTCGGCCTTCCTGTGTGTCTTGCTGCTCATGTTTGCCCTCATGCTAAGCCGTGTACCCTCCTGCTCACAAGTGCATCCTCATT